TGAGTACTGATGCCTGAAATGTAGGAGAGTTGTAGGGTGGTAATAGGGAGTCTTGATCTGATGTTAGTAACAGTGTAGAGGGGACCCAAAGGCTCAGCAAGGGGACCCAGGCTACAACTATCCTACACAACAGAAATACAGAATGTGAGCACTAGAACATAGTCAGAACTTGCAGAACAGGCAGAGAGAGAGAGTGAGACAAGAGTAGAGTATATAGAGTGAGCCTAAGAGTACAGGACTACCTGGAGTAGACAAGATCAAGACTACAGGACCAGTCTGATCTTGTACACCTATATATACTAAACTACACAAGAGCACTCAGAGAGCATGAGCCACTAAGAATGATGAGCCACAAAGAATGAAAGAAAGGAAGGTCAAAGATAAAGGTACAAAGAATGAAGGGATGGATAAAGGGTAAGAGACTATAGAATGATACAAAGAATGAAGGGGTGGTCAAAGGAATGGAATGATGAAGTAAGGAAGGGTAGTAGCAAGAGTCAGCACACATATAGTTCATAGACAGCACCCCTAAGGGACGGAAGTCCTGAGTTCCAGTACAGAAGGGTGCAGAACCCTCAGAACTGAAGGTACAAGAGCAGAGAACTGTAACAGGTTGCTCAGAATAAGAGTATAGGCATTATTGTTCATTTCAACATTGTCTTCTTTTAATTCAACATTGTTTTTGTTTGTATTTTTAATAATAAACATATTTGTCATATTTTCTACAGTTTGTTTTGTTTTATACACAATATTAGTCTGATGTTTGGCACATACAAGCTTTGTAGCTTTAGTAGGAGGTTTGCAGCATTCCTTAGAGAAATGTCCTATTTTCCTATAATTGAAACATTTCAATTTTGACAAATTGAACAAATTTGGCAGATTGAATTTCCTCCACTTATTTGCTTTATACATTGTATTAGTGTGTACATTATTCTTTGTCTGATCATTAGAATCCTGTGCTTGTTTAGTATAGTAATTGTTGTAAGCATTCTACAATATAAGAATTAGTTACTTTGGTTCAACTTTCTTATGTTTATTGTCTGGTTTGTCTTCATTTTGAGTATTAGTAGATTGTATTATTATATTTACTATGTGTGTATATTGTTTAGGGGTAGTAAGTAATATTACTGCTTTATATGTAGAGTCTCTTAGTATATCACTGTTAGTAGACAGGGTTGTATATACTTCCTCAAGTCTGTCTAATGTATGTCCAAAGTGTTTAACATAATCTTTACAAATAAAGAGTGCAGATTTTTTAATAGTCTTTTTACATACTGTCTAAGGATTGAAGCATTCTTTAAGCACCTTCATCAACTAAGGGATAGACATATTAAAGTGTATATAGTTTGCTAATATAGTATTAGTAATGTTGTTAACAATACATGTATAAATAGCCTTAGTTATCTCCCTCTCAGCTTTGTTCTACAGTTCATCCTTTAGTAAGTGTTTGAAGTATGTAGCTATAACACTAGAAATAATATAGTAGTGCCACATCTTGTAGTTCACTTCAGTCTTAAGCATTGTAATGTTTTGACCAAAGTACTTAAGTATGTCTGTAGGCTTACAGTGTGTGTCTGAGTAAGAGGAAACTATATTACTAAGTTAATACAGGCAGAGAGTGTAAGGCTCATAACCTGATAAGAAAGGTAGAGTATGTATACAAGAACAAGGGGCAAGGTAATGATTGACTGCTGAAGAGTTCTGATTTTAGTTACTATCAGATCTTCTTGATTTTATTAATTCTTTGGATTACATAATCACTTTCTTCATGTAGTTAGTTCTTTCCTATTTAGAATAGACAAGGGGGAGTTTTTAACTAGAGCCCACAATGACACTAGAGGGAACAAGCCCACCAAAACCTTGCCTCTCATTTTGGAGCCTACTATAAGGGGTGGTGCCTCTGTTCTAAAGTGTCTGGGTTGTTTTTGTCTTGATCTTGGCCTTAAGGGCCTTGCCTAGCTTGTTTTGAATCAAACTGACTGTTTTGACACACAAGAAGTATAATAATGTGGCTACTGAGAAGAGGATCAAGAGAAGCACTGTACTTTGATGGCAGCAAGCTTGAGGAACTTCCACAGTTCTTTGAAGACATTAAGATGTTAGCTGCTGACTTCCAGAAGGATGCTGAGTGGATGTGCAAGCAAGTGACATACTATACAGTAATAAGCTGTAGCAGTTTGTAGGCTACTGTGCCCAAGTTAAAGAAGAAAGGAGCACACAATTGGAGTATTGTGAAAGAGGAGATCAGAAAGCTCTATCTAGAGCTGATTGATGGTCAATACTACACAAGAGCCAATATCACACAACTAGTTAATGTGTAGAGTGAGAAGGAAATGATAGTGCAGACAGAGTTTGGCTGCTACTACTGCAAGTTCCAGGTGCAAGCAGAGTACTTGAAGGAGCAAGGGAAGATGTCAGCACACAAGTTAGACTGTGAGTTCTAGAGAGGGATCAGAGGGACACTGAGGACAAACCTGACACAATGACTGGAGATTCTCTATGTGGACAAGGATGCAAGCAAGCTGTTCAAATTTGCTAATGTAGTCAGGCTAGCAGACCACATTCTTCTAGCAGGGCAGACAGAGGCAGGCTGAGACCAGACAGTAATGTTACTAAAGGAGAAGCCAGAGAAAGTAGTAGGAGACAAGTATGTGAAGATTGTAAGGAAGCTTGAAGAGTTACAAGCCCAGGTCAACAAAGTAAGCAAGTCTAGGAAGATGCTAATGAATCAAGCACACTAAACTGACCAATCCACCAATTCTGTGAAATCCAACCTGAAGTACAAGAGGACCTGCAACTTTTGCAGAAAGCAAGGACATTTTATACATGACTGTAGGACTGTAAGCAAGTACACTCAGAGGGGGAAGTGTATGAGGTTGGGGCAGAAGATTGTGTTAATGAGTAGGGCATTTGTGCCAGCCAGTACAGAGGGAGCAATGTTGAAGGAGTACATAGACTGATACTACAAAGACAAGCCTGTGTTCACAGTAGGCACAATTGATGAAGTAAAAGATAGGTTGAATGCAAGTGAGGGAGAAAAGTATGAAGCTGTTCTTAGAGTGGATTTGGATGCAGAGGTGACAAGGTTGGAGGAATGCTTGAGGGATGTGAAGAGACAAAGAGAGGAGGCAAGGACCATGAAGGCTAACACAAAGCCAGTCAAAGTCAGACTGAAGCAAAGTGCTGAGTCAAGCAAGATCATCAAGCAGGTCTTAGACTGGATGATGGACAGTGTTGTCACATTGATGTACCACAAGTTGTTTGTGATAGCTCTAGAGCTTGAGTACCAGTATACAGCTAAGCTTATGAGGACGACTCAGATGTATGACAAAATGCTGAACAAGGCTGGAAGTAGACCTGTAAAGGCAGAGGAGGAAGAGACAAGTGAGGAAGCAAGGACCAACAGTAGAGAAGATCAGCACACAGGTACAAGTGTTGTATGCAAGGATGACAAAGCACAGTCAAGCCTAGCAGCAGAGCTAAGAACAAGCAGATTGTACAGGAAAGTAGTAGATTATGTCAGATTGAGTCAGATTCAAGCTGGAGAACAAGAACAAGAGTGGAGCAGAGGAGCAAGTGTGGCAAACAAGGCTGGAAGTGTACTAGTGAGGACAAGGGAGAATAGTGTAATGGATGAGCAGTAGAGGCCATTGTGAAGGGCAGTAGCAAGCCAGATGAACAAGGTCAGAAGTGTATCTGTAAGGATCAAGTGCTAAGACAATGAGAATCAGTCAAGCCTAGTGAGAATACTGAGCACAAGCAGATTATGTGGGAGGATGTCAGAAGCTGTCAGATCAGAGTAGTGTTGAGCAAGGGAGTGTCAGATAGGCACCCTAGTCAGTAACAACAAGGCTGGAAGTGTACCAGTCAGGCTAGTAATAGTAAAGCTGAACAACAAATTGGAGACTGAGAGCTTACTGGACCAGGGAGCTGTTATGAACATGATGTGTGAAGACGTTTGGAAACACTTGGGAGTACCAAAGGAGCAAGTGTGGATGAACCTCAGGCTAGCAAATGCAGGATCAATTACAATCAAAGGTGTCATTCCAAGACTCAAGGTGTCAGTAGGTGGAATATCAATAGTGATGCTAGTTCATGTAGTGAAGGACACAATGTTTGACATGATAATCAGGAGGCTGTTCTTCACATTAACTGAGTGTAAGACAAAGGATTTCAAGGACAGTAATCAGATTTTGACCTTGACAGACTCAGCAGATCAGAACCAGAAGTGTCAGGTTGAGACCCAAGCAGCTGTTAGATGAAACCCACTACTCACTACTACTACCATCTATGTTAGAGTTGGAGAGGATTGGTCTGGCAAGCCTTTGGCCTTAGTACAGGTTACATTCTCTTTTCTCTAACATCCCCTTATACTCCTTTCTTTTATGGACACTCATTCTTACTTGAGACTCACACTCTTTGTTTCCTTATCTTACTTTGATTAATACCTTTTATCCTTACCCACACTCCTTATACTTACCCTTCATTATTGCTTCTTAAAGCAAGTGACTGAGGACAGTCACTATTTAAAGCTTGGGGAGGTGAAGAGTTCTGATTTTAGTTACTATCAGATCTTCTTGATTTTATTAATTCTTTGGATTACATAATCACTTTCTTCATGTAGTTAGTTCTTTCCTATTTGGAATGGACAAGGGGGAGTTTTTGACCAGAGCCCACAACAACACTAGAGGGAACAAGCCCACCAAAACCTTGCCTCTCACTGCTCAGTGTCTCTTGTCCTTATATTGTATATATTCTAACTAAGACATTATAAAGTCATTGTCTTATGATAAACTCATTATCTTATAATACATATGACTGATAATAATTGTATAATTCCTTAAGTACAAAATTTAGTATTTAATTTGACTGGTCTTGTTAAAAGGCATATTCTCACATAGACAGTCATTCTGAAGGACTAAACATCAGACTGCTTACTATGTTTTGCAGAAAATACAATTACTGTTGTTTTCATAAATATTGTCACATACATGATTTGTGAGTTTTGTTATACTAAGTACACTCAAATACAAAATCTATTATAACTCAACTAATACTTAACCAAATTACATAATCTAAGTTGTAAAAATTATACTTTTGAAGTGTCTTTCATATTCCAGAAAAAAATAAAGTAAAATGAGCAAAAA